GATGTTTTAGTGATCACCAAAAGGGATGAACAATAACGATCAGTGAATGAATAATTTTAGTCATCATTATTGACGTTAAACGTTGATCAATATTCATTTTACTTCCTATCTTGATGCAAGAGAAGACAACCAATGTAGCAGCAGTCTCTGCAGCAGTAGGTCTCAACATACATAAAGGAAAAAGCGAAATTCTCCGATGCAACATAACATGCATCAACCAAATCACTCTTGATGGTGGTGATGCCTTGAAGGACGTTAAGACCTTTGCATATCTGGGCAGTATCATCGACGAGAAAGGTGGATCGGATGCAGATGTGAGGGCACGGATTGGCAAAGCAAGGGCTGCATTTCTACAATTGAAAAATATCTGGAACTCCAAACAAATATCAATCAACACCAAAATCAGAATTTTCAATACAAATGTCAAAACAGTTCTACTGTATGGAGCGGAAACATGGAGAACTACCAAAGCCATCATCCACAAGATACAAGTGTTTATTAACAGCTGTCTACGCAAAATACTTCGGATTCGTTGGCCAGACACCATCAGCAACAACGAACTGTGGGAGAAAACAAGTCATATTCCAGTGGAAGAGGAAATCAAGAAGAAGCAGTGGGAGTGTATAGGACACACACTACGAAAAGCACCTAACTGTGTCACGAGACAAGCCCTCACATGGAACCCTCAAGGCAAAAGGAAAAGAGGAAGGTCAAGGAACACATTATGCCGAGAAATAGAGAAAATGTGAGAAGAATGAACAAACATTGGACAGAACTGGGAAAGGAAGCACAGGACAGAGTTGGTTGGAGAAAACTGGTGGGCGGCCTATGCTCGATTGGGGGTAACAGGCGTTAGTAAGTAAGGAAGTACATGATAAAAAAAATTGCTAATTAACGCTCATACAGTAGTAACAAAAAAAATTCAACTTACAACCAACATCCATTAATACAGATTCTCTTGTATAACCAGCAATACTTTCAGCTAAACAAGTCCATTCACCTTTCATATCTTGACGAACTGAAAGTAATTTCAATACTCCTTTTTCTTCATCAATATGAATTCCTGGACTACTAGTAACCTTTAGATAGTTTTTTTAAGAAGAGAAAAGAAAAAAGCACGTCAGTAATATTTTAAAGTATTTTATACATTCAACTTTTCTATTTTCAAATTACAATATTCAGGATAAATGGTGTGGTGCGCGCTACTTATAAGTAGTATATGACGTGAGTGTAAACGTAATGTCTGGCAGCAGAAGATGGGGGAAGATCAAGAAAGTAAGAAGAGTGGGAACACAATGGAATTTGTATGAAACGCATGAATAGTGAGTGAAATGTCAGACAATGAATTGATGATGGATTGAAGATTTGCAAATGAACGATTTACGATATGGTTTTCCTATTTTACTGAGTAACTCTGTAATTTTCGTTAAATACAATTCGGTTGCCGTCACCTGTGTTCTCCTTCACTATAATGGTACAACAATTTTTAATTAGACTTTACTAAATCATACTCTAAATATTTTGTTAAATCCAGAGTAAAAGATGCTTTAAAAAATGGTGAAGTAGATCAAATACTATCTCTCTTCTTCAATATATAATACATTCAGAGTATTAAGTCTCAGATTTTTCCTTTGAAATGATCTTCTTAAATTGATCAAATCTAAAAGTATTACGAATGCACGTAAATATGTCAGTTTGACCTGCATGGACTATTACGAGTTTATCTTAGTTGGAAAACGAGAGTGAGGATTGAGGATCCGATTGTCTAGAACCCCCATTTAGTCAAACAAGAAGACTTGATATGAAATAGAACCTGTATTCTACAAGCATCCAGAAAGTACGAGGTCCGACTCCAGAAGACGATCTGGATCCTGCACTGAGGATCTGGGTCCGAGTCATAAAACGTTACAGATAATGCATATTTATACATTTAGGTCGAATAAGAAACAACATTGAGGTCTGTGACATTGACAGTTAGGTGGGCCATAATACTGACCAATAGGAATCAACCAATAGAATAAGACTTCACAAAAATAGTTCTCTTAGGATATTTGATGTATATCCTAACAAAAAGTTGTTTCCAAAGGATAGAATCCCATTGGTAACAATCAATGAGTTCTTTAACAACATCTTGAATAGTGGCTATCCATACAATTCAGGTATCCCGTTTCTCCGTAAACGGAACGTTTATGTTGACATTGAGATTTGAATCTATGTTATCATGTCTAGGTTAGTCACATAACATGTTTAAGGGTTATCATGATGTAGGCGGAAAAAAATTGAAAAATTTCAGACACTGTCCTTGTTATATCCTGAGGGAGTTTACTGAAATGATAACTCCTAGTATTAGCTTATATATATATATATATATATATATATATATATATATATATATATGTCAAAAGGTCTTAATATTAACCTATTAACTATTTCTAATCTTTTGCCAGTTTATCATTCACAAACTCTCCTATTCACAACCACTTTTATCTAACTCATGTATAATTGCATTTATTTTCTCATTCTACGGTGTGATGTAGTCTAGTATATTTGATACATAAATTATGTCAGCTTAAAACATATAATGAATTTTGTATAGGCTGGCCATGGGCTTCTGGACTAGTAAGCAGAAACAATTTACTGAGATATGGACCAATAAGAAGAATTTAGAGCTGACTCAAGGGCACTGTTGCTAAAGCATAATTCTGATTGGTGTGTTATACTTGTCACATGATATTGATCGACTGTACTAAAAGAGGTATAACAATCTCAAATATAGTTAACATTTAGCCATAGACAATAGTTAGGAATCGGGTTAAAAGTGCCAGTATAACAATAGAGGCTGATCAAATGAAAATTGTTTTTTACAAATAACAATAAATAACTAATAAAATCGTAACTATTTTTTTAATGCAACGTTAATTAAGTAAATGTTTATTTTGTAGTTTTATTTATAATATTATTACTGCATTTCAATTAATACTCTCTACCTATCATTATATATAATTGTATTCAATGTGTCAAATTGGATTACATGTAAAATCAATTTGATTTTGAAGTTTATAAAAGTTAAAAGTGTAAATAAAACTTTTGTATTTATTATAGTCGTTGTTTCTATCCCCAAGAAATCAATACAAATCTGGGTATAGATTGGAGAGGGTATTTGTGCACAAATCAGAGAGGTTATAAGTATTAAATTTCTATATTGATATAGTTATTCACAGAAATACATTTGTTATGCTCAACTCTAGGTATGCTTAAACTAATACGAGTTCACCATAGTCAAATTACGAGAACAAAACAATGAACCAGCGTCCCGGTTTGGCTACTCTGATACCTTGACCTAACCGAATCAGAAAGAAGTCTTGATATGGCGTAGAAATTGTATTCTGCAAAACACCCAGTCAGCACACAATGAATCCAAACACTCAAATTGCGTTTATTTATACACCATAGAGACGTCCTTGTTACAGTCACAAAATTAGCACACTAAAATGACACAGTAACCAATTACAGCCAAGGCTTTTTGTGGTGGGAAATGTGATCTCAAGGTCAACTAATCAATCCATGAAATAAATCCAAAATAAAGATATTTATCAAGTGAGTTCTGGGGATCTAACATCCCCAACAATCTTACATTTTGTGAATTCATTTATCTAAATTTTTCTATTCGTTATAAATAATATAGAAATATATTATTCCCATTTTCTAATTAATATATAATAATGATGGATTTTGATAGAGCACTGGAGAAGACGTAACTGATCTGAAAATAGGTGATGTATTTGTGCCAAACATGTTTGTATGGACACACATGTACATAGGGAGGAGTAATCAGATATTACTATCAGTCGTTATGGAACCTGTACCTAAGTGGCTTCAAAATAAGTTAACTTCAGATAACCCGATAAATGTAAAAAACAGAAAACCATGTTCATCGGTCACAAAACACATAATTGAGACCAGGCGTAAAATTGACATCAAGACAGACTTCAAAACATTCTACAGAAACGTTGAAGGACGAATTCTGAAGTTTATGGAAGCCTTGGCTATTCGTGATTTAAAATCCTCCTTGTGTGTACAGAAACAATTTGTTATAAACTTGAATTTATACTCCGTTAATCTTTAAGCCATTTTATAGTCTGAAGGTAATGTGATAATTTCCTGCGCTTTCTTATTCTTTCTATATTACGTTAATTTTATAGCTCTTCCTTATTTACAATTTGAACTTTGATTTAATTGACCTTTTATTGAATTTTCATATAAAACGCCTTGATAACGCAAATGTATATCACCTTATTTTTCAGAGAATTTTTAGAAGCTTGGCACTCAAATCAATCGACAATCAACAAACACATTGACATTGATCGAATTTAACAACCAATCAAGGAAAAAAATCACAATCGACATAGAATCAAGAAACAGATCAAAATGGGGATACAATCAAAATAAAAGTGCAAACAACGACAGGTCTAAGGTAAATAACATCCAACAAAGATCAAGGTTCACAGAACAAACTACAAAACTTATTAAAAACAGATTAAAATCACATACAAAATTTTAAAAAAAAGAAATATGATAACTTACTGGACTTCCATTAAAATCCCATTTTACTTTCGGTTTTGGTTTACCAATTACATGACATGTAAATATTTGTTCTTGACCTTCAACTGGTAATAGACTAGACATTTCTAATTTGTCAATTTTTGGTGGTAATATAAAATTCGCCATAATATTAATTGAATTATTACCAGCGGAATTAATAGCTATACATGAATAATTTCCAGCATCACCAGATTTAGCTGGACGAATAATTAATCTTGATTCCTAAAAAAAAATTACGAGAAAATAAAGTTACCATCATGCTGATGATAAAAGTAAACTGAACAAATAAAATAAGAGTTATGAGAGAAGTAGACTGATCTTAATTGGTTGGTTATGTAAATCAATTATAATTGACAGGGTTCGAACTCAATAGCTATAACTTACATTATTTAAACAAACTAGTTATGACTTCAAGTAGTCTGTAGAGTCTACTAATATTATCGAGCTCACATGGTATGTTTTAGCTTTTAGACAAACCAGTTAGTCTATTCTTGTCAGATAGATAAATCTAAATCTTTTCGGGTGATCTATCGTATACCTCCATCATCATTTTCTAACGGAGTTCGATCCCATCTCCTACACATAGCGGAAGCCATAGGAATACGTACATTCAACCCCAATTTATGTGTTCAGAAGAAATTCGTGACACCCCTATCTCTTCCGTGGCCGAATATGACGTAACTAACGGTGGACATTATATTTTTTATCTTATTTTATTTATTTTTTATTTTTACACATTTGCTTATTACGTCATGGTTTTGATATTTTTAATGTTTATTTGAAGTCTATTCATCAACCTTTGACCTACTATTGATAAAACTTTTGGTATCATATTTTATAATTTTCTTACTACTATCAGTACACCTGTCTTTCTACAGTTATCAACTTGTACTTTTGCCTGTTATATGTAGTGACGTAATCTCTATTTCATTTCATTGTGATTATCACTCAAATTGCCTTGATTGGTTTCACATTTTCATATAAATATTCATGCATATTAGAGTAAAGCAGCCTGATGACGATCTAATCGAAAACAACAGTATTGTTCGCTTATATGTGTTATTCTTGTCAAATCATTGTTTACTAGCATTTCAATCCTATTAATTATTTGCTTATAATCTTGCATGTTTTCATTTGTGTAATGTTCATTTCGATTACCACACGTAATGACAATTATCATGTACTCACTAATGACTAGCTTTGTGAAAAAATTCTTAGAGTTCCAGTGAGAAGACGTGACTCCTTCGGGTGTGGGCCGTTACACACCGTATACAATGAATGAGACCGCGCAGTATTGTGGATTGATTCAAGTTAAACATTGCTATTGTTGAATCAGGGCCCAATGGTTTACAAGTTAACTGTTCGCGCGCTCGAGAAAGATTTTCCTAAGTTGGATTCCTGCATGCAAGGGTCATGGATGGGTCCCGTACTAGAACGAACTGACCTTCCATTTCAATGTAACAAGATACTATCAAATTAAAATGTCCTTTTTTAACTGAACAATCGAATAAACAATAATAGCAGTGCAATTTTTCTACATACAAAGAACTCTTCAATCACTGTGATACGTTGATCATCATCTGTAGATATTGTTATGGGTACATCATTATATGCCCAGATGATTTTCGGTCTTGGTACTCCTTCGGAACGACAACTTAATACAAGTGAACTGCCTTCTTTAAATGTTACAATTTCTTCATCTGTATTGATAATAGGACGAGCTGTAATTTAAAGCAGAAGAGAAAAACATGTGTGTAAATTCGATTTAGATTGAATGTCTGTGTTATTGTAAACGATTCCTTCAATGTAGTTCTCAATATTATTATTATTATTATTATTATTATTATTATTACTATTGTTACTATTACATTACTACATTACTATTTATGCAACCTAAGTCAGCCACTTAGTCAGTCACAACATAGAAATTTATACCTACGCATATAAGTTCAGGTTGCCATACCAGAATAGCACAGACAGATGCAATTGTCAATTCAATGGGGAAGATTAGAGTTCGAAGATATGATTCAAGAAGTATAATTCAGTGAAGTAAATTTAAAAAGAGAAAAATAAGGATGATGAGGAATTCAGAAGATTAGAATTTCAAACAATACAAAGAGTGGATGCATCTGGGCCAGTGCAAACAATTTTGAACCATGGTCTCTAACCATCGGTTACTATCATCTCGTGGACCCCAACCAGATAGTCAACAATTACCAACATGATTTTAAACTAGCTGTCAGTGACTTCCTGTATTTTTGCCATGCTTTGATTTGCTTGTGCGCATCCATGACATCAGCTCGTGGGAATCAAAACCGGAACCTTAAGTCTCACGTATAAACACTTAACCTCTAGACCACTGAGCCGGCATCCAATCGTGTTACTGTCTAACTTCGATTCCCATAAACAGATATTATGGATGTGCACCGCACCGTATGAGTCCCATACTAAGAAGATGAAATGGCCGTCCAGTGTTTCCAGATTCAATGATCAGTTCATGATTTCGTTAAAACTCAACAATCTTAACCACTATTTGGATTATCATATCATATAAAAATGGTACATTTATATATATAGATAGATAAATATTTTTCCTAGAATACGTTTAATAAATCATTTAAACTAAAAACAAAATCGATGGGAAAAGATAATCTACTTTCAGATCAAAATAAATTATTATTTTCCTTGTTAATTAATTAATGCGTATTAATTATCAGAGTTTTATAACATAATAAGTTGGATTCCATTACTGACATTACCATTGTTATTATCATTATTATTGTAATTACTATTATTATTATTGTAATTACTATTATTATTCGGGTAAAATAATGTAATAAAGGATGGTACAAAATCTAGATTAATGAATATCTAACTCAAAACAGTGTTTCCCTTTGATAAATTTGAATAGAGAAATGAGAAGACATATTTTGTAAGATAGTAAGTACCATTTCATGCTTTCTCGTCAGTCACACATACAAGCAACATGTTATTTGTGTAAATACAGCAGTTTTGAAGATAAGGTCAAAATTTCTTATTTAGCATGACATTCACTCACTAGAAAGAACCATGGTAAACAAAGGTCAACATACAGTTAGTTGTTTTTGAACACATAAAGTTGGACTTTTCCGACCAATCAAGATAGTTTCGGGTAGTTTCAGTGTGTGTGTGTGTGTGGGTTTTGATGACATGTCACAACTCTATAAAGGCTGATTTTAGGTCAATTTGATGACCACTCATCATCATTAGATGTTTTGCAATCGGCGATCTGTCCTCCCTAAGTAACTTTCTCCGCAGTTACATGTGAATTGGTAAATCCCACTGTATTTACACACAAATAACATGTTGCTTGTATGTGTGATTGACGAGAAAGCACGAAATGGTACTTACTATCTTACAAAATATGTCTTCTTATTTCTCTATTCGAATATCTAATTATTTTAAACAAATAATGATGATGATGATGATAAAGATTGTTAAAGATTCAATGTTTTTGATTCTTCACAATTGAACATAAGTAGAGTGAAAGCGTACTTGGCATTACTTACTTCTAATTATCAAGTTTCTTTTCGTTTATTTAAACAAATCGACATTGCACTATAGTATTCAATAAATCCTTATGTTAAGAAATGCAACAAACTATACTTAATATGATATGCTCGTCAGTTGATATACTTGAATGCTTGCTATTAATGAGTTCATCTTACACTCGATAAATGGGGCGAAGACAGATGATCCAGTGATACGATAGGCTATTCTAATCCGTTGTCCCCCGCCCCGGTTTCTTATTACCACCGTTCTCACAAACAGGGTTCACTTAAGGTATGATTAAAGGAAATTAGATGAACGACTTATTTCATAGCATATTCAGTCGTATGTATAAATGGGAGTCGGATTCCAGGCCAAAACATCCCAAACTTCGTTACAAACTATTAGTATTTTTTCGGGCAGAGTTTTGGAGGTTTTGTGTTTTTACACATTTGAAATCATCAATCAATCATTGTTAGACCAACATTAGAAACCTGGAAGCACTGGACGGCCGTTTCGTCCTGGTATGGGATTCATCAGCAGTGAGCATCCACGACTCCTAGTATTTAATTCTGACGTTAGAAATTAGACATCATGAATACTGTTAATTGATCGAAGTACTGAAAGTGTAAATCATATAATTCTGACTCTGTAGACTAACATAGTGTACTCTGTGAGGGACATACTGTGACTGAATTTATTTCTTTGTTTGAAATAATGCGTTTGTACAGATCACGTGGGGTCTTCAACTAAGACAGAATAACTTTTATGATACGTTTCTAATTTTCTGATTGTCACCAAACATACGCTTTTAAATTCACTTTAGTATTATATTACAGTAAAGAAATAGATATAAAAGTATTTAGCATATCAACTAGAGCACACATGTTAACAAAATTACTTACTGTGTATAATTAAAAATCCATCTGCTTCACTTAGACCACCTTTATGTTCTGCTTCACAAATATACTTGCCAGCATCACTTTCAGTTGCACTCCTGAAATGTGAATAAAATGTGAAAATAGTGAGCAATAGTGTTTTTTTTTAAATAAGCGACAGATGACAACATCAATAAGAATAGATCGGGTGATCTAGATTGAATAAGCATAAAATAAAATTCCAAAGCTAAAATGTTATGATGTTAGGATATTTATTCAATATCCTAAGAGAATTAATTATTGGTCAAATCCTATTGGTCGATTTCTATTGGTCAAAATTATGGTCGTTTTAACTGTCAAAGTCAAATACTTCAATATTGTCTCTTACTGGTCATCCGAACTGTCAATGACATTTCAAATGTTACTTCCTGTTGGTCGTCTGAACTATCAATGTCACAGAATTCGATGCTGTTTCCTCTTCGACCAAAACGTATAAATACGCATTATCTGTAACATTTTATAATTTCAAAAACTTTCATTCTGAACTCCATTGTGTAATCATGTATTATAATTCGTACGCGAGACCGAAGGTCATGGGTTCAATCCTGACTTGTGGAGTTGTGGATGTGCATTGCTGATAGGTTCCATAAAAAGGACTAAACGGCTTTTCAGTGATTCCAGGCTTCTAATAGTGGTTTAACAAAGATCGATTCATAACTTGAATAAAACTCAACAATCTTCACAAAGCCTATAATGACTTACTGACTACTTACTTACGTCTGCTACCCCGTAATTAAGCATATGCTGCTGACCAGAGAATTATTTTTCTGGTTAGCATTTTTTGGCGAGTTGGATTTCTGCGAGATTGGGTCGTTAACCCCATGCCCAACTGTTATATTCGTCACTAAGTATGCTTGAGGTTATAACGAGTTTACCTTAGTCGATAACCGTGAACGAGACTTTTACCAGCGTCCAGGTAGGCTACCTTGAATCCCCAACTAAAGTAAGAAGGTTTTGTAAGCGTTAAAAGTATATTCTACAAACACCCAGCAAACACAGTACAATCAAGCATACAACTCTCGTTTATTTATACAACATAACAACGTCCTTGAGACAGTTAAGAAAATAGCATACTAAAATACACAGCAGCCAATCGCAGCCATGTATTTTCCTGCGGTGGGAAATGAGATCCCAAGGTCAACTGATGATCCCATGCCGGCAAACGTGAAGACCAAAATAAGGCATTTATCAAGCGAGTTTCGGGGATATAACATCTCCAACACCAACCCTCCACCTTTATCCGGTCTTAGGACCGACAGTAACCCTTGAAGGGCTCCAGGTGGAGTTCTATGATGACAATTATTGTAAATAACAAAAATGCTATTTTGACTTCATCTTAAACAGGTTGACATTAATAGCATAACTCCTTAAGACATTAAAGGGTTTATTCTAGTGAAGTATTCGTGAATAATACCTTCATATTTTATCGTATACAACAGTGAGTAATCTTTGATCATTCAGGCTACAGTTTGTTACATTTAAAAGCAAAGCATCAATTCTCTATGAGTTAATGACTCTTATTTTTACAAATAAGGAACTCAACTAAAAGCTAATCATGTAACTTTTAACTTGAACATAAAGTATACTAGTAATTAAGAACAAAAGCTTTTGCACATTGAAATAATCGATCAATCATTGTCAGACCACACCATTAGAAACCTGGAAGCACTGAAATACGGCCGTTTGGTCATGGTATGGGACTCATCAGCAGTGTGCATCCATGACTCCTGCATCTCAAAGGATTCAAATCCAGGACCTTCGGTCTTACGCACGGACATCTAACCTTTGGACCACTGGGCCGGCATCCAACGGTGTTAATGTCTAACTCTAACTGATCTAGGGATTTTGAGTGGTCCATTCGTCTTCGGGGTTGAAACGACCATCCAGTGCTTCCAGGTTTCTAATGATGTGGTTTAACAATGACTGAGTGATGATTTCAAATGTGTAAAAACACTAATCTTCATAACTCAAATTCAAAAATAATAATAGAACTTTTGATGATAAAGTATACTAATAGTCAGTTAGACATTTCATTGACAAGAAAACCAGTACAGGAATTCATTCTGAAGTTGCTACATACATTCTGGTGATAATTGTGAATGAATATAAAGTCTGTGTTGATTGTACTCACATAATTTTAATTTCAATGAATAGCAATAATTACAAACATTTCATTTTCAGTACATTAGTAGTGCCTCCACATATATATTCCAGTTCGTTTACATATAACTTGGTTAAGCCCTTTCGGTCAATTTATTTGACCAAGCCATTTGTATAGCAACAATTTATATGTACCATTCGTTCTTATTATTGTCTGGTTTGTATGAGCTTGTATGACTGAGCATTTTTTACGCCTACGCGCTTACTCATCCTTTTCGTTTTAATATTAATCTCCTAATATCCCCATGAACTCACATGATTTGTATCGCTTGCTTTTGATCTTGTCAATCATTCGTCGCTTTTATTCATGTGTGTGCATGCCTATTTCGCTTGTCATATGTCTGTCTTATTTTTGTATGACTATATATTCTTAGTCATGCTCTCTATCTCTTGGAGTTGGCTCACTAGCCTTCTCCAACGCGCCTCGCCTATCCATTCACTTCCTTCGTTTTATTCACTGCTTCTCCGCTTCGCTTTGTGGTGTGTCCCGAATAAACGTATTCATCAATACGAGTTCATGTTCTGATTTATAAACCGAGCTTAAGAACACGCATTAATTCGACACACTACAAAATGGTGATCCCGACGTCATACAGCGACAAAGCAGCTCAGGAAATTAATGAATTCGCTAAACGAATCAGATTCAATATACAACACCGACAACGCACTATCTCATCGGACGAAAGCAACAAATCCACTTAAGCGGTTATATGCACATACAAAAATCGTATTATCATTTCGATTACGTATTAACTCGCTGCATGAATCCATCTCTCGAATTATCCAATGGTCGTTATCATTATCGCATTAATGTGAAAGAACTATTTTTTGTGGTTCATGATGATATTATATATTATGACGGTAATGGAGTTGGCTCGCTAGCCTCTCCACTTCGTTTTATTCACTGCTTCGTTCATTCTTCCGTGCATTCGCTCGCCAGTGCACTACACACTCTCAATTCTATGAATATTATTGGCTAATACTATGATATATATATATATATATATATATAGATATATATATATATATATATATACAACATACCTTATTGTTAATGTACTTGTAAAAGCTGATGTTAAACCACCAGCTGGTGTATCTTGATTTAATTTAATTGTATGACGACGTCCACTCTTTAATTCAAATCTTGGATCTAAACCTCGATACCATCGAACATCAATATTTTCATGTAAACTAAAGATATTACACGTGAGTATTGCATCCGTTCTAGGTTCAACACTTGCATTACGTGGTATGAGAACACGAGGTGGAGGTGCTATAATTAATTTTTAGACAAAAGAAAAACAACAGAGAACTGTGTAAATTCAAGAAAACTAAAACTACTTATTAAAAATAAAAGTAGTAAGTTTCGATAAACTATAAAAAAAGGGTGTACATTTCTACTGTTAATTTTTATTCATTCATTTCTTTGAGCTTAGTTAGTGGGATGTGTAATGTGTAAGGAAACCAAACAAACTTTTTGCTAACTTTTGGGATTAAAATGTGAGATTAGAATATTTGGTTTTTAGTTCTGTTCTCCTATATGGCTGTGAAACATGGCCGTTAAGAGTAGAAGATGTTCGTAGGTTACTAGTGTTCGATCATAGATGTTTAAGAAACATTGCTCGTATATCGTGGGACAACCGAGTAAGAAATGCTGTCGTTAGGAAACGAGTACTAGGTAACGATGGCAGATCAATAGATGAAGTGGTGAAACTTCATCAGTTGAGATGGTTGGGACATGTGTTGCGTATGGCTAACCACCGACTGCCTCGACGAGCTATGTTTTGTGGTGTAGGAGTAGGTTGGAAGAATGTTAGGGTCGGCCAGACCAAAACATGAGAGAAATTCACGGACTGAGTTATGTTGGTTGATGTAGGCTATCTGGTTGGGGTCCGCAAGACGAAAGTCACCAATGGTTAGAGACCGTGAACGACATGGCTCAAAATCGTTTGCAATGGCGCAAGTGCATCCATTCCTTGAGCTGTCTCAAATCCTAATCTTCTGGATTCGTGAGAACATCTACCTTTGTTTTTCTAACCTTATCTCACTGAATTATACTTCTTGAATAATATCTTCAAACCCTAGTCTTCTTCATTACCATTAATACCTCTACTATCTTTATCACTATGGTATTTGATTTGACATTTGCGTCTCTGTGCTAATGTGGTATGGCGACATGAACACTGATGTACATACGTACGAAGTTCTACATTGCAACTGACTGACTGTAGTAAGTGATCGTTCAAAAAAGAAACCTCTTACATTTTTATTACAAATAACCTTTAATTTTATGCACAGAATTTAATAACACATTATTTAATCATTTAAACTTACGTAAAATAATCACCGATATTTCATCTTGATATTGACCTTGCATTTTTTTCTCATCATCAGTAACAGTAGGTATTACTTCAACAGAATAAATTCCATGTGATTCTTCATTTACATCAGTAATTGTATAGACAACATTAGTTGGGAAACTAAAAACAATATTTTTTTAAAAAATTAAATGAATTTGTTAACTTTTGTTTTAAAAAAATGCCTTTCAACGGAATTAAAAACAATTGATTTTATGTTTCCATTGAAATCATAAGCAAATAAATATTAAACTAATATTAGAAACTTCAAAGCGCCGGACAAACGTTTTAGTCTAGTATGGGACTCATTTGCGAAATCAAAACGCCTGGAACACACAAGTCAGTTTCTGTGCAAGCAAAGAGTGACACAACTTCCTTATTCCCGAGAAGATGGACTAATCGAAAGTACAAAACA